CCCTATCCCAGACTAAAATGATACCCTATCCCAGACAAAATGTCAAAAAATGATACCCTACCCCAGACCCAAAAGCCGAAAAACCATACCCTATAGGGCGGCACATACCCGTATAGCAAATATAGGCGAGTACCCCCCCCCCCGGGTCAAGGGTCCACCACATGCGTGTAGGGCCAGGAGATGCGAGCCACCAGATGTAGGTTTTGGATTGCTCATTCGAACACGTGTTGCGTGACGTCATTCGTATGGAAAAAATGCCTCATGACAGGATTTGTTATTCAAAGTTTTAGTCGTTTGAGGTAGATGTTATTGAGAACATCTTTTTGCTTGATTTTATCGATCGGTTTTTCTTTTTTGTCGTTTGTATCAAAGCTAGACCACAATTCCTCCTGTTTTATATCGAACGGGAAAGCTAGAGGGCTCTGCAAACGAGATCGAGTGTCTTTTCTTTTTTGAGCCAGCGGGGATAGGGTTTCAGCGGAAATCCACACTTTAGAAAACAATTCAAGATGGCGGACGAAGTTGGACGAGTGTTGATCCTGAGTTTTACTTCAAATTTAGGGTCTTTGGATGCTATAAAACGTAAGATTTAATAAGAATAACAATGATTAACGACGCTGCATATTAGTTTAGTTTTGAAACTGCTTATCCTAAACCTGGAGTTCTAATATACCTTTATTTTACATACATCATAAGCTAGGTTGAAAAAAAATTATATCTTTTTACTGCAGAAATCCATGGAAATGAAGGGCTGCCGAATCTCATTTCGTTATCACAACATTTAGATTGTTATCCCTGGACAATAAGTAACAAGTACTTTAAAACAGTTGTTCATCTTTGTCACTGCAAGTCAATGAGTTCTCTCTCAGCAGTCAAAGCCTCACTCATGCAAAGCTCCGAGTTATGTTTCGAAAGCATAATTCTAGTATTTAATCAAGAACAGGTAAAGAAATGTCATAATTTCAATGTCTAGTGCAATTTTTCTTGATAATGGTCTGAAGATGAACGTTATATATTTAGACGACCTTTATACTGTATATTTTTCAGTCAAAAGTATTGTTTTTGAATGCTTTATGTATTTTTGTAGAAGGAAAGTCTAAACGATGCAACAACTTGGATGGATTACGTAGAAACTCAGAATGCTTCAGTGCAATTATTGTTAAATGCAGGAAAAGAAGATGTTGCAGCAAACAACGATCAAGGTTAGCCAAGGGGTGGTACTGTTTAACCATGGTATATATATATTTATACGTCTGTAAACTACTATTATTAGTCATTGTATTATTAGGATAGGCCTAGAGAGGTTGAAGAGGGCATAATATGTTTTGGCTGTTATGATATCTTTATCAGATTCATATGTTGTGGTATAAATACTATAATCGTATCAAAGAGTGCTTTTAGTAAATACTATAAATTAAGTGATGGGTAGGCACACTGAGTAATAATAAAGAATGGGATTAACAGTGGATTCCAGAGAGTGGCTCTTCTTCATTATTCCAATTGGAATTTAGAAGTTGATTTTTTATGGAGGAAAACCGTAGAATCTGGAAAACCCTTGAAGCATATAGCAGAGAACCAACAAGCAACTCTACTCACATATGACACCAAGCCCAGTGGAACTGGAACCTGGGTCATCTTGGTGAGAGGCTAGAACTCTCACCTCTACGCCACCTGTGCTTCCCTATTATCTAGTCCAGGTTCTCTTTCTCCCATCTACCAACAACAGCCATATTTGAAGTTACCTTTTCCTAAAGCACATGCTATTTCCGTCTGTTTTCATGGCAAAGAAAAATGCCTTTATATTTTTTTGTGGTCACAATATTTTTTTACTATTTTGATATCTTAACATACATGTGTATGGTTTTACTGTAGGTTTGACTCAAAAAGAGGTCCTAGAATGGTGCCTGAAGTACTCCTTTGAGTTAGTCGAGCTGAAACCAAATGAGGAAGACCAGCAAGATGCTGGTAAATAATAACAAGAATTTTTGAACAATTTATTTTAAAAGCAATAAGTTGATTTATCAATTCCTTGTTTTTTTAAGGGGAGTTTGGTGAACAGACAGGATTCCCAAGAGTGATACAAGCATTAAACTGTGGAGAATGGCCAAATATTAAACTGAGAAGTGAAAGCAAAGGTTTTTAAAAAAAATTAGGATTCAGAGATGTGTTAACTACTTAGCAACTTAACTAATACCTTATTATATCTATTATCTACAAGGAGTGTTTAAGAAACTTGAGAATAGACCAAATTCAATTGGGCACAATGTTTTAATTTCCAGCCCACTGATTTTAGGCCATGTGTCACTCCTTAAGTATCCAGTTGTATTTATTGTCTTAAAGGTAAAATTAAGGGTTCAAGCTATTTTTTTAATGAGGTACGTTTTTTGAATATACTGTTTAACCGTTGTCTTCTACAGGAAAAAATCAGAGTTCAAGTTCAGGATCATCAACAGATGATGCAAAAAGTAATGCATTAGACAGTAAAACATGTAGCAATGGTAATGGTCATGCATGCAGTAAAACAGATGAAGAAAAGAGCACAAGAAAACTAATGGACTGCTCAAGTAAGTATATATAGTGTATGGCATGTAGATATATACTGTATTGGTAGAGACTGCTGGCTACTGTTATGAATTGCTAAATACATTTCAAGTTTGCTGCATGAATCCCAATATAGTTTTTATATGTATGTTTGCATCATTGTTTTCTGCATGCAACAAACATCATCATCACTTATATGCATTCCAAYATGCAATAATAATTTGTTAATTTCACCTAGTAAGCTGGCAGGAAGTTGTTTGTTGGTAAATAGAGGTTTTACACCATCACGTGACGGCAGCCATGTTAGATGGCAGGAACAATACATTAATTTTACATAAGAAAGAATTCAATTCCCAAGAGCAAAAGGATTTCATTGTTCTGCAATCTAACCACAGGTAGCCCAAGCTGTATTATGGACATGGGCATGTGATAGTGAAAAACCTCTATAGCTTGCATAATACATAAAAAAAAGAAAATGAAATATATCCCAATTTGATTGTGAACTCCACCCAATAAATAGGCCTCTTTAGCTTGCATAGGCACAATGTTTTCCCATCTCAGACCATGTGTCATTCCCTAGAGCACAGGGAACCCGGCTATATTTTTTTTGCTTCTTTTAGAAAAGTAACTTTGCTCTTTGTGGGTTTCCTGTGTTGTGATTGGTTTCCTATTACATAAAGCTGTAATCAGATCTGCGCTGCGATCAGATCGGCGCTGTAAACTGATAGCCAATTAAATTCAAATCAATAACCGTTGGTGTTTTGTTTCTTATGGGTTGCCTGTGGTGTGTAACGCACTTTCTAGTAAGCAGTCAAAAGAGGAGTGTTTACTAGATAGTGCGTTACCAACGGTTATTGATTTGAATTTAATTGACTATCAGTTTAACAGTGCCGATCTAATTAGCCCCAAGCTAAAGAGGTTTATTGAGAAAATCCTCCTTTGTTTCCAGGATTAACTGATGATGAGACAGATCTTCTTCAGAGACTAGGCAATGATGATCCAGATGGTGAATCATTTGATGAGTTGTTTACAAAGCTTAAAGACATGAAAGGTGTGTGATTTATGAGTTATGCTTTCAGAGTTCTAGAAAGTATTCCTATTGACCTTTCTCACATGGCAGGCATTGTGAAAGTTAGCTGCCCTCTGTGTATTTATACTTTGTTGCTCTCTTGCTGCACTCAAACAATGCTCACCTCACTTGAATAAAAATCTACAGGAGACAAGAGAGGTTGACTTGGGGTAAGTCTACCATGTTGATTGGAATGATAAATTTTTGCCCAGCTAGCCTCACATTCAAGCACTTTGGGACGAGTTAAACAAGCAGAAATACAGCTGTACAGGGTTTGCGTAATACTAGTGGGAACAAACATACAGGCCTGTCAATCCACCTACAAATTACTATTACATATTTTTTTATCAACTCTGATCTGCTTATAGGGTGAGATTTTTTCTTTTAACCATACGATTCTATATTCAATTATTTGCATTTATTTTTATTTCAGACCGTGCTTCAACTCTTCCAGACGAACAGCGAAAGTCTTATGCAGAGCAGGTAATATTAGATTAAAATTTTTAAACAAGTCATGAAAATCGTAAGCTAATAATTGCTTTGGTTACAAATTCTCGTAGTGTGCATTATGAATAAATACACCATGATTATCAAAAACAAAATAACAAACACCAGGACAAATGAGAAAAATAGAAAAGACAACAAAAACAACAACAATAACAACAAACTAAGAAACAAAAACACCAATTTGTACTCCCAATTGAGTTATAATTAATTCATTTTGTAGTTCTTAATTCATTTTGATGAATTTTTTCAGGTTGCAATAGCATTTTGGAAAGCCATGGGAGGAGAAGAAGATGAAATATCTGGATTAGATGATAGTGATTAATCACAGTAATACTGTAAATCTCAAGATGTACTTGTAAATAATATGTAGGAAAAATAGAAATTTTAAACTAGGGTTTTGTATGGAAGGCTTTAAGACATAATCATGGAAAAGAGTCGGAATTTTACACATTTCTTAGTGAGTACAAGAAAGAGAAGCCATATGATACACAGAAATATGCAATAATGGCCTCCACTTCATCTTGAGAATTTAAAAATGTGAAAACACAAGAATGAGGCTAATCAGTCCTCAGTTGATTGTTCACACAAATTTCTGTGATTTTGATTCCAAATCACTGGAATTCAATTTTTTAAAACCATATCTTTTCTCATTGTTTTATCCAAGAGCCATAACGGCTTATCTAAAAAGACCACAATTTCTATTCACAGCGTTACAACTTTCCAAACATACACATTTTATGCTTGCTCTTTCTGATGGCGGTGTCCAATTTTCTTAAACATTATTTTTTGTGTCTGAAAGTCAATGGCAGCTATTATTGCATTTGCTCTTAGGAGATACCAAAAAAATGTATCATAGTAGTACCTATGTAATAGATGTCATTAGATATCATTAAACATTAATACCTTATAAATAAATAACACACATATAAATTGAGAATCCGGGTTTTATTTACAGATATTTGAATTGGAAAAGTTATAACTAGACAAGTAAAACTGCATTAATACATCCATCGTTTTCTGGATTATTGGTAACTTGTGCATATTTACCTAAAATAAGATAAGATAATCAATTAAAAAGAGTACAAAATGAGATACATTAGCAAATCGTCTGGGTTGGGTATTCTGTAGCACTGTTTTTCAAGTGCCACAGCTGACTCATTTGCACAGGCTTAACCTCGTTCATAAGTCTGCTTATAAGATGTGTTTTGACAGCTAAACAATGTTGGGGACTCCCATTTTTGATTTGCGCATCTTACTTCTAGTATGATGTACTTTCATCATTCAAAATTTAAAAAAACATTTGATGGAATTTTTTGTCCATGGAAGTCCTTAATGGTTGCACATGACAATACACATGGATGGAACACAATGGAATGAATACGACTCAAACGAGGAATCTTATCCTCAAGAGAATGACATATGGTCTGAAAACAGTGTGCCCCAAGCAAGAGCTTTATTGTCAAAATGAATAGGGATACAGTTTAAAAAATTCTTATTCTCTAGGGAATGACATGTTTTGTAACGGGAAAACATTGCACCAAGATGAATAACGTCTATCAATCAATACTTTAAATGAACCTTTAATATTTGAACTCAATTATAAAAAATTCAAATGATTTATAATCCGTTTGTACTTACCCCATACTACTTTACCACCCTGTGTTACTAGACCAAGTTCACTAACGTTTACCTAGAAAAAGGGGCACAAATTTTAATGAAACTATAATAGTTATCACTGTAAAGTTCAATCTAATCATACAGTACCTCAATGACAGTTCCTTTAGTCATTACTCCTAGTTGAGTGTAAAGTGAAGACTGTGGATTCTTCTTTACTCCAATGATTGGTAAATGAAATGTGGCTTTCAGCTAATGACAAAAAAAATATATATATAAATTAATTTGAATGCTCTACACTAATTTTTTTCTTAGATACTATTGAGACAATGGGATGTAAGTCTATGAGAAATAAATCTAGTAGCCCAGCAGAGTAATCTACTAGCCTAGATAAATGGTAATCCAAAAACAACACTAGCCTATATTATGGACTAGTGAATCCTAATTTTCACTAGACCCAAACCAAGACTTTCACTAGACCAAGACTAGTGGACTAGTGGACTAGCATTAGTGTCTATCACTGATAGCTACAAGAAAAATCCCAACAATTAAAATTATGAAAGACAGTGATCTTGAATTTCCTGTGTTTGGCAACATGTATGATTAGACACAAGATAATGTTTAATCCTGGAGAGTTATTACAGTAAAGAAGGAAAGAAAATAGAAGCAAACTCAAAGATTCTATCCTCTATTATTACCTCTGGATGAGTCACATGTGCTTTGTTATATCTCAATCCCATTGGTCGAATGAATCTTTCAAACTTTGGAGGTTTTCTRGTAAATCCTTCACCAACATAACATGCCTTTGTTACCATTCTCTTCCATCCTTTCTCTGAAAGACAATACCAGATTTTAGAGTACTGTAGTTACTTACTGGTCTCCCACATTTGAATCTTTGAGAGTTTTCTCCTGGAAATGTCTCCAGATTACCTGACAATTGACCCTATTGGTTAATGTTTTCCTAATACAGACCTTGTGTCATTCCCAAGAGTACTGTATCATTTCTTTATTTGACGGTTGTGCATGAGAAGACACATAAATATGGATACAACAAAGAATCTTATTTTCTAGGGAATGATACATGGTTTGTAATGAAAACACATTGCACTGTGTGAAATAAAAACAACTGTAAGGTACTACTTGTACTTACTTCTTGTCTTCCCAGTTTTAACAACCTTGAAAACTTCAGCTTCACCAACAGCTCGTACTTTTGGTAGAGGAACATTCCATTTTCCCTGTTTCAAAAACAAACAAAAAAAAAAATTAAGAAAAGATAAACAATAAATTTCCTTTTTTTATTAGTCTTTTGACTAATTCTATTCATTTCCTCTCTCCCCTCAGATTATAAATGTCATGATTCTCATAAAAAAAGTTAAAATTGCTCTTGTTTTTCAGTAAAATTAATTGGTTTAATTAAGAAGTTATGAACACTTTTTCTAAAAAAGACTTACAGCTTTTTCTTTTCTCTTCTGTTTGACCATATTACTCAACACTTTAGCTCTTGATTGCCCTTCTCTATCCAGTAGATATGCTGGAACAGCACCCTCGGGTACTTTCTCATTATTCCTTGTTTTGGTTCGTTTTTCCTGGTGCATTTTGAGGCTAAAAAGGAGAAAATGAAGTTATAACACAACAGTAATCAGAAAATGCTAATACAACTTCAAGGGACAGTCACATTAGACTTGATATTAACAGGCATAAACATTTGGAAATACTGGGTGAAAATTGTACAAAAATGATAAGGGTATTTTGTCATGTAAAATAAGAGATTTAAATCTGATACAATGGAAACATGGCAAAAACTAGTGGGGAGCCGATATTTTTGGGGGAAAATGGAATCAAACGCCCTTTGGCGAACTCGTGGATACTTTTTGCACTTTTCGAAGATTGGTCTTCCTGTGCCCTCTTTATGCTTGTTGACATTCTTAAACGGATTCCAAATATTTCACTCGATTTAATATTTTGAATGCTCAATTTATCTAGTAAGATGAGTAATCGTCCTTATTATTTTCCTTTTAGCATCTAGTTCTTCGCTAGTTTGTTGAGTTTGGAATTGAAAATTGTCTGAACTTCAATTAATAAGAAAGACGACTTCGACTACAACTTCGCGATAGAGTCAACTGAGTCAAGTATAGAGTACAATTGGAAGAAGATCTATTTGAAAATGCTTTCTCTGTTTTCAGTTTCAAAGGCGGGCTGTGTGTTTTATTCTAGGAATCATTCGACCTACGAGCTCAAAACTGAATATACAAGATAATCGACCGTTTATGATACAATCGGGACGATCAACATAAAGCGTTGCGTTATGCGTGTTGATTTACATTACTGTTTATCTTGACCTTCAGGTGTCACGGCTCCTACTTCAAATGAAACTATTTATTTACACTGTGAACTAAGCAAATATTTTATAGAAATAC